ATAAATTATACAATTAATTATACGTTTCCTATTTTGACAATGAGGTCAACAATGCACGTCCGTTTTTTCCATCCGATAGTCTGATCCGACTACCGGAAGGTGCTCATACCATATAATTGTATGATACGTGACGTTCGAGTTGGCAATAGCGTCCGATTTTATTACCGATTCGATTGTCTGAAGGCGCGCTCTTTATACTTTTGCGGAGAGACGAAATACAGGTCCGATTCTTCCATCCGATTTGCAGCGTTACCAATGCAAATTATTCAAAATCCCCAAAAATCAAGGTTATAAATTTGTGGAGAGCAAAAGTCGTATTTCCCACTTGTATTAATATTTATTCATTCTCAGTATTTCTTATATTATTATTGTTACACTTAAAAATATATCAAATAATTAACTTAGTAAAAATGTACCCATCTATTACATATAAGTTATGCTATAATTAGAAATAAACTCAACAAGTTGAAAACCTAAGAACTCGATATCAACAAGTTGAATTAAGTCTAAACCTTACTAATTAAGCTTGGTAAGTGGCAAGTTGTGGTATTAAGGTCTACCCATAAATATCCGGGATGTGTACGAGCCGTGCGCCTCAGGGGCTCAAACAAATATCGTTGCATTTATATGAACTGGTTCACACAAATCCGTGTCCGGGCCGGCGCGCAAGGACGGGCCCGCAGTTCATACAAACTAGCACGCCCCGTCCACGTCCTGGCCATGGCCCTGATGTGTGTGGATAGTCCTTTAAAATGCCTACTGCTTGACTTTGTTCGGCAACAGCTGTATTCTTTTATCACACCAGGAACCTGTCAAAACAAGGAACAACACGCACCGACTGATCATCATCGTCCTATTTAAGAGCCAGGCTCTTGTCGGTGACTAATAATAGTAGTAATTTTATAATTCAAGACTAAGTGATTCTAATCCTACTGGATAATTTTATACACATAAGCGGTTTGCTAATAATTCTATATATTTGTTGCTATATAAGCAGCGCATGTGTGATGTTGAAAAAAATATCAATATCGTTCATAAACAAACAAATAAATAGTGTTTTTATCAGTGATAAGAATCAGACGCCTATCGGACGTGTATAAGTGAATCCGATCCGATAGTCGGATCCGACCATCAGACACGAAGTCGGACGTGTATTACCGTACTGATTATTAAGTTACATTCTATCTTGGTTCATAGCTGTCAAAAAAAGGATGCTATCTTGGCTCGACTATAATTGTTAAGAATCGATTCATTAAATACCCGAAAAATGTTTCGGGTTTATAAAGCGTACAGTAGCATCACTAGCTTACAGTTCACACGCTCAAATACACGTGAGGCCGCGGCAGACCGCGGTGTGACAAGAAGGTCTATATCTATTTGTCTTTTTTGCTCTACTTAGTACTTACGTCTTTACCCATACATAATAGAGCTCCTCGTTGGGAATCACGTGGCGACAAAACGAAGGCACTGTCTTCAAAGCACGTGGCGCTAGAGCGAGATAGTGTTATGTGAACGTAATTTAGTATGAGGAAGAAGCTTTTTGAACTCTTGCGTGTATTACCCCGTGCAGTTTCATTTAACCATCGAGCATATAACCAGATTTAACGGACAGTCCACTTCATTGTTATTACGGAACTTCTAGTTTAGAAACCGTAATCGTAAAATTACTTATGAATGCAGTTTTACCCAGAAATGTGTTACATGTCATTAAACCGCGAAAGCGAATTGCAACACATATACTTTCAATGTGGTTTGAAACTATTTTTAGATTTAGTTTAAGTACGTTTAACATATTTTATAGCATTTTGACAAATTACATACTTACTTTAAATTTTGTTGATGATAACTATGTATTGACTGGAAAATAATATAGATTCTGAAATCGAGGAATGGGCGACTAGGGGAACTTTTACTACTAAAAGAAGAATTTGGCTAATGACGCATCTTTCGATATATTTATGAAAACTAACAAGTTAATTGGTGTATGTCAATCTCAAAGAAAAGGAATGAAGGCGAATATGACTAAGACGAAGGCGGTGATAATAAAAGTAAAATAATTTATGTAGCTGGCTGGATAGATTGATAATCAACGGTTAGTGTGACGATGATATTGAACGGAAAGTAATAGTCGAAATCGTGTCAAGAGAAAGTGCTAACTCCAACCCTGACATACAGTACCGAGTATTGGGTATGATAGAAGAATCATGAAAGTGGGGTAAATGGTGTAGACATGAGAGCTTTGAATAGTAGGTATGTGCGGTGTTAAGGCGCCATAAATTTAGACGCTTAAAGAAGCGATACAGTGGCGCAAATGTGGCGCTGCAGCTGCGCCACTACTAATTTTTGTACCAAGAGAGGGGTGACGAGACGAGACGAGAGAAGAGAAGACAAGAGAAGAGATACAAAGACAGAAATGGAAGTATGTATGTACGTAAAAAGAAGGAAAAATAATGTGAGATAATAAATTTAAATGGAAACCCTACGTGTATTCTGAACGGACAAAATATTCAACTAGTGATGGAAAACAAAAAACTAAAAAAATGTATTTTGATTTTGACAAAAACGAACGAAGGCTGAGACAACAAAATTGTCGCCTGAAAATAAAAAATATCCCAAAAGAAAATATTTCACCTAGACAACTTTTATATTATGCCTACAAAAAAATTAAATTACGTTAAATCAGCTTACATTACGAATAAAGACTCTACTACTAAATATTACTATTTGTTTTTATGTCTTACATTATGTTTATATACTATCGATGATTATTTCCTCGCCACGTCGTCATGGAATAAAGGGAAAATAATATAATCGGTTATTTTTTATTAAACGAAGAAAAATTAATTTCCCAAACTGTGCCCAAGCCCTTACGTTCCGTTTCGTTATTTTCGTTACTGTTTACTTAGATGTACAATTTAAGTGAATATGACCCACTTTTACATTGACGAAACCATAATTATTTTAAATCGATGATTATTTGAAGACAGCTTGAATAGATCGGGATCGCTACCATATCATTTTTTTATAATATTAGCCTGATGGTAAGCTACACGCCTGTCGATAACAGTTGCAGTGCCACTCAGAACTTTAAATCGCAAAAATCCGAGGGACACTACAACTGCACATGTCACCCTGAGACATTGACATGTCGCATGTGCCTGTTATTTCACAAGCACCCTTAATCCTTCAAAACCGGAACACAGTAATGCTGACATTACTGTTTGGCGGCAGAAGTAGTTAAGGTGGCAGTACTACCCTAGACGTTGAATCATCGTTTTGCAAATTACATGAGCCGTTTTTCGAAAAGCAAAAAATTTATATTCTCCGTAGGAATCTAATGCTAGATTTTGGCAAGCGTTTAAATCCCACCGACTTAAAATCTATAGAAGCATTACTCCAATCTTGCAAATGGATCGAAACATGCAATGAACTCAACAGTAATAACCAAAATTTCCACTCACAACCCAGCACATCACGGCATTTTCGCTCCATACCACCATTTAAATTTAAACCCATATACACTATAAATGCAATATCATCGCTACCTCCTACTCGATTCACTTGCCCACGTTGTCGTAATAATAAACATAGTTTAACCAACTGTACAAACGTAGAAGTAGTATGCTTTCGCTGCGGCAAAAAAGGTTATACTTTCCTAAATACCCAATTGCCATAAGATTTCAAAAAACTTACAAGGGAACGCAGAGAATCTAATAAAACTTCTTGGACTAACTAATTTTCTTTAAGTCATGTAGAATTTCTACGTTCCTACTTTCAAACAATTCTGACTCTCAACGACCATAACTAGAAATAAAAGTTAATCATTTAAATATTACAGGACTGTTAGATAGTGGAAGTGCTATCACAATCCTCGGATATAATTTTCATACATAGTTATGTAAACACGGTTTCAAATAAGAAACCAAATTGGGCAAGTGTTTATATTATTATAGCGTTTATTTACTATATTATATACATGTATTATAATGTATCTACGCTTTTATGTATCACTTACCTTTGCGTTGACTCCAAAACTAGTGTTTATTATTAATATAAAAGTTGTTAAAAGAAAAATGCACCCAAATTGGCCAGCCGGAATAAGAGACGTTGTAAGAACTTGTAATTAATTTTTTTTTATTTTTATAACCTATTCTTATTTAACACAGAAATAAGTACATAAGTTCAGAAAAGAATGAAAATCTTAATAAATCCACTAAGTAACTTTGGAAGACATTCTTATGTAGATATTCAATTACAAAAATCAACGTTTTAAACATGAACTTCCAAGCAGATTACAAACTACCGTCTTTAAATACAACTGTTACACCTGGGTAAGTAGTATTCAATATTCAGCATATTAGCATAGCAAGCATATTCTCAAAATTTCTTCCTTTCAGTTTTATTTTTTCATTGACTCTTAGGAAACACTCCCAATTCACATACGATTCTTCAATCTTGGCCACATGACGAAAAAAGAATACTGCATGCCCGTAATACCACTTCTACACTAGTTTCACACACACACACATTTCTGTTTCCTGGGAAAATATTAAATACTTCGTTAGCAATATTCCCCACCTTAAAATTTGTCTAACAGGGTCTCATGATGGCTACAAACTAAGGCCTATAGTTCCACTGAAGAAACTCTCGTAAACTTCGTAGAAACATTAACAGCACTTTAAAAAATTTACTTGAGAACTGTGCTAATTGCAGTACTAAAATCAATTTTCTTGTATGAAGGATGAGAGTCTGGCATGCAGGTAACACAGGTTTTTGAAAATCGTATTTGCAACGTCTCTTAATTTAATTAGCTATTAAGCTGCTTTTGTCAGAGGCCAATAAAAGTTATTGTTATTATAAGATAATAATGATCTCATGGTTATTTTAGTAATGATAATCTAAGTTCCATTTCAATTTAAAAAACCGTAACGTAGGTGGCAACTAATATTATATTTATTTGGTTTCTAGGCCCAGATTAGAGAACCAATTGTTAGGGACGCTTAAGTAATCACAAATGCTTCAGGTAAAATTTCAAGAAAAAGTAGTGAAGCAACATCTTCTCGCAGAGAGCGTATATAAACATGTCCCGTAACTGTTTCTCCTGCAAACATCAACAGAATTTTTATGAAAACGGGCACTTTCGTTCGCCACATGCCACTGCTGTGAATTTCTTTAATATCTTTGCCTTTAATCCCAGATTTTGGCAACCCAAGATGTTTACATACTGCTTTTGCAGCATTTGTCAAATTGTTGTGTATCAAACCAAAAATTTCACTAACTTCCACTAGTCGCCGGGACGCATTACCCCATTTCTTCTGCCAATCTTCATCCGCTTCATGTATGATAAATTGATCCCTACAGTTAATTTCTAGGTCTTCTAAATAGTAATTATCTTGATGGCTATTACAAAAATTGTCAGGAAAGTTATTGGTATTTACTGGATCACAATTAGAAACCGTAAACGTTAAAATAATGGTGAATGTTCCCGGTGATTCTTCTGCTTTTTTGGGAAATTCCAGCAGTAGAAAGATATTACCTTGTTTGTCGTACTCCAATTGCTCACAGGTTGTTTCAGCCAACAAACTATAACCAGGCGCCAGTCCTAAAACTATTTGAACATTTTGTAATATACGATCGCAAAGAGTATTTAAACATTCGAATTGGAGAAGCAAGTGATGCGCAAAGACATGTTTAATACAACGGACGCGATATTCAGTTCCAGATTCTGATAACTCCACGGGTTCACAAGACTTAAAAAGAGTCCCAATGTTCTCTATGCCAGGAGAAAATATTGGTTTGCTTTCTTGTCGCTTTTCAAGGGATTCCATGGATAGACGACTAACTACTTGATCAGACATGTCGTAATTAATGGCCTGGTGCTTTTCATCTATTAGAACAACTGATATATCGAATGGTCCATCTGGCTTCTTACTCAAATGATCAAATAAGGCCTTTTCAAGTTCAATTACATTGGGCACTTGAACATTCGTGATATAATCATTGATAAGATTTGTATTACCTGACTCCAGTATTCCGTTGTAAAAAACCGCACGATCTCTCACTTCGTCGCTATTGTCAAATTGACACCTAGTTAATACAACTCTTACTCTAGATAGCAGCTCTGGGAGCGCGGCGCCAAATCGTGCGACAGTTGTTACCGCTGCTGCTCGCACTGGTGGTAATTCTAAAATAACTCTGTTGTAGATATATCTAATGAATCTCGAGGGTTGCTTAGTTTTTGGACCTTCACGCCCTAATAAATGTAAGATGCGCACAGCTAGTGCCTTGTGTTCACAATCCTCAATAAATTCGCACAGTTGAATTAATCCATTCTCTTTGACGTGATCATTTTCCCCTTCAATAAGGGGAATCATTGCACTAATAATAGCATCTTTATACTCCAAACTACCTTCACCGTGTAACATTTCTCCTAAAGGTGATAAAATTGTTGGGTATTTACGGGGATACTTCGAAAAAAGGCGTTGTATAGCGTGTACCACCATTATTTTTAATTCGTCTGGTATATCAGTCATGAAACTTGATAACGGTTTCATTATCTGCTTAATTGTGCTAGGAGTTCCCATGCTAAGAATGGTTACCAAAGCCATAGTAGCAACCCATTTGTTTGGGTCAAATACTAAATTTTCATAATCTATTGTTTGCGCTTTTACAATACTTGGATATTTGAAACTGATTTTAGCCAATGATCGAGTTCCGACCAAACGTATTGTGGCCTTAGGAGACACACAAAATATTTGTAAGATAGACAATACTTGAGCAAGTTTTTTAGCAGATTTACACAAATATATCATAGCATGTATAGCTTCATAAACGATAATTTCGGAATTATTGGGCTGTAGACGTGATTCAATAAACTTAATGAATGTACCAGACAATCCCGACTCATGACTTTTGGCTAGCTTCGCAGCGTAACGAATAAGAAGGCATTGAGCGTATGGCGACTGAATAGGCTTAGATAAGAGTTTTATTACGAGTTTCTCCATCGATATTTGATTGATGCAGCGAACTTTAGCAAACACACCCAAAGCATGGTAGGACGCCATAATGTTATCGGACATTATTACTTCCTGAAATAAAGAAAATGGTTTTGTAATTTACGCGCACACTACAAAACTAAAACATAAGCCAGAATTAATAATCACAATTGATCTTCATAAGCACAAACCATTTTGTAATTCAAGATACATAAAGTTACTACGGTACCACTGGTTCCCCGTCGTCAAGGAAGCGACCGCTGACGCGCTATAAGTTTATGTATGTAGTGTAAGTGTGTATGGGATCGTTCATTTTGGATTCTTGAATGTTATCAAAAGTTATTATTAATAACCCATACTGTGGAATTAACCAACAAATACAGCCATTTGTACATCTTATCATGTCAACGTTCATCATTTTCGAAAAAACTTTTTGTCAATTCTGAATTCTATAAGATAGGAGTAGTACTCGATACCTGAGCTTCTTTTACCCAACGTCGTACTAAATCCGGAACAGTCGCCGATTTATGTAAAGCGGAAATAAGTGCCGCAGAACTAACTGCTGGATTCTTGTCAACGATCGCTTCCTTCATGTAGCGTTCAATGCCTTGCAACACGGTACTATCAACTATAGTGCACAGAGCTCTTATTGCCGCAGCACGAAGCATGTCTTCCTTTCCACTCATGTCTTTAGTAAGAGATGATGTCACGATAATCACATCTTGAGATTTTAAACTCAACTCCTTCAGACTAAGGTACACGAGTCGACGAAGTATTATGCTATCAGATTGGAACAATTTTGTCGTTGAGAAAAATATATGAGTAGCTTCTTGAATAGAAAGAGATTCTCCTTGATACAACAAATATAAAATTTTTTTCAAAATATGTATACATTTATTGGGGTTAACACGCAAGGAATTGAAGTACCGAGCTTCTTGTAGGAGAGAGATTTTGTCGAGGTTTTGGAACACTTTTTCAGGTTTATATTCTTGCAATGACTTGCTTTTATGACTTTTAAAAACACTCATTATCGTATAGTAAAATAAAAATTGTCTCCAAAAAAAGAAAAATAACGTACAACGAAAAAACCATAACGGAAGCAAAAAAAAGCAAAACAAAATCATGACCAAGGAGCATTGACCTACTAGGTAAGTAGTTCATTATTATAAAAAGCCAAGAAAACAGAATAAAAGATCTTAAACATATAACTTTAGAGCACTCAATACCATCATAATACCGCCTAAGCTTCCACTGTACCTTTTTAATTTGTGGTCTAAGCTCTGCAAATACGCACTACTATAAGCAAAATTAAAGGCAGATTTCAGTTTTGAAGGGTAAGGGTGTACCTTAACATCAGGCGCACGACTTTTTCGCCCCGTCACTTAATATTATATAAAAAATAATAATTATGATAATTACGCGACGCCGAAATTGCGACTGTTGTATAAGGAATCGGCGGCGGTCGGTCGCTGCGAATTGTGTATTCGGGATAAAAGTCGGATGAATGATCGCTATTGCCATGCTATTTGGTACAAACTATAGTAATAAATTCTGGTTTGAGAAAAATTAAAAAAGGCAAATAATTATTAAGAAGCATGTCAGTAGACAGCCGAATTTACATTTTGCCTGATCTGTCGTGCCGTGACGCGTCAGAACGGTATCGGTTTCATGGACACAACACATAAACCGTCACGTCAGATTGCGACACACTAATATAAATCTAACCATATTACATGTATGAAACCGATACCGTTCTGACGCGTCACGACACGACACGTCAGACAAATGTAAATCAGGCTTCTACTTTATGATAGGAATCCTGGTATGGCGATAAGCACAATGCAATATTAATATAATTTTAATAAAAGTATTTTTTTTAACATCATTAGATATCGCGCATGTTATACTTACCATCTGTACTTTTATGCTGCGATCCTATTGCATCATTGGAAGCTTTCGAATCCGCATTCCTTACATTAGCGTCGCCTTAAGTGAGTTTCTCAAAATTAACTAGTCAAGTAAAAATTTGACGCCAAGCTGATGCAGGAAGGCTCAACTCACACTGGCGCGGAGTCGAAGCGTCGCGTCGCATCCTATTTTTCAACTACAACGTCTGGCGACGCGTGTCGACGTGCGACGACGCTCGCATTAATGCATCCGGATCACAGTGTGTTTGGCGTCTGACGCCTCACTGCGCCCAAGTAGCGCGTGGCGACGCACGACACCGCTCGACTTCAATCAACGCGACGACACGCGCTTCCATATTTGCATAATACAAGTTTTTACCTTAATAATGGGAAAATAGAGATGAATATGCTACACGCGATAAACATGACGCGTCGCGATGCTGCGACTCTGCGACATTGTGAGAGGAGCCTAAAGATTTAATTATGTAAATACAATCATCGCAGACTAGTATTAGGGGTTAAAGTATGAAATTGCCGTTTTATTGCAATAGGTTCT